GGTGGTGGTGGTGGTGGTGGTGGTGTGTGTGTGTGTGTGTGTGTGTGTGTGTTGGGTTGAGGATTGGGAGGAGATAAGGTCTGTGTGGAGAGAGGTCTTAATAACGATTTCTGGTTTCTCAAAAGATCTTTCAACTTTGATTCCTGAAAGAAATTTTATCACCATTGTTTTTTCTGCTTTTTAAATCTGCACTCCTTTGGAGTTTGGGAAAATATTAAAAGTTGGGGGTGATTTTATCGTTGCAAATAAGATCCCCTGGGTATGCCCTATAAATTGAGATTCTTGACAGTGGGGAAAATCAGCTCTCATAGTTCATGCTGGTAGCTGTGGGGTAAGTTTGTGAAACTGGGTAAGCAAAAGGAGGTTTCTCTAATTATTAAAGTCATGAGAATTGTGTTGCTGAAGCTTGGTAGTCTAGTTTGGGTCCTGCCCTAAGCAGACCCCCGCTGACACCACCCCGTCTCCCATGGCCAGCAAGCTCTTTGCAGTGGGAGTGGTGAAAATTTTTTTTCTTTCTTTCTTTTTTTTTTTTTTAACTCAGCCACTAAACACAGTTTAATAGTCCCATTATTCCTTCCCACTTGTTAAATTTCTAATTCTGTGGAGAACAGAGAAGTAAAATTCCAAAGGCAGTTAAATAAGAAGTGTTTGAAATCCGACATATATTCCCAAACAAGAATTCCTCAGGTAACATTTTTTCTTTCTCTTTGTGGAATCCTATATACTGTTATGAAGTGTGTTATAACAAAAAAAAATGCCTGGGGGTGCCTGGGTGGCTCAGACGTTGGGCATCTGCCTTCGGCTCAGGTCATGATCCCAGGGTGCTGGGATCGAGCCCCGCATCGGGCTCCCTGCTCAGCTGGGAAGCCTGCTTCTCCCTCTCCCACTCCCCCTGCTTGTGTTTCGTCTCTCACTGTCTCTTTCTCTGTCAAATAAATAAATAAAATCTTTTAAAAAATGCCTGTACACTGCATCAGTTGCTAGAGTATTTGTTTATTTTTCCCACTTGGCAGAGGTGAAGTCAGTTGTTGGAATGAGGCTGAGATTGGAGAATCTGTTAAGTTTTATTCTTGGATAGATGTAGCATCTTCAAAAAGAGCTTGAGGTAACCTAAAGTAAAAGACACGTGTACATTAAGGATAATAAAATGCAATTTGAGTGCTTGCTTTGGCAGCACATATACTAAAATTGGAATGATAGAGAAGATTAGCATGGCCCCTGCTCGAGGATGACATGTAAATTCATGAAACGTTCCATATTTTAAAAAAATAAGTAAATAAAATGCCAATGGAGTACAAAAAGAAATAGAAAATCAAAGTGATAGAAGAGCGAAGAAGAAAATGCTATCTACAAAGGCTGAGAGAATTATTCTGATTGAACATTAAATTTGGCTTTGAACTTCTAAGATAATATGAAGAACTAGGTACTTTAAAAATAATCAGTAGCAGGGCACCTGGGTGGCTCACTCGGTTTAGTGTCTGCCTTTGGCTCAGGTCATGATCCCAGGGTCCTGGGTTCGAGCCCCACATCTGGCTCCCTGCTCATCGGGGAGCCTGCTTCTCCTTCTTCCTCTGCACCCCTCCTGTTCTCTTGCTCGCTCAATCTCAAATAAATAAATAAAATTTTTTAAAAAAATAACCAGTAGCATACTCTTTACTTAGAAAAGACAAAGTCTCAAAAAAAGAAAAAGAAAGAAAACACAAGTACTCTCCCGGTACTAAATGCATGGCAGTATGTATGTATGTATGTATGTATGTATGTATGTATGTATTTATTGATTGATTGATTTATTGATTGATTGATTGATTGATTGAAAAAGATTTTATTTATTCATTTGAGACAGATACAGAGAAAGAGAGCATGAGCCGGGGGAGAGGCAGAGGGAGAGGGAGAAGCAGACTTGCCGTTGAGCTGGGAGCCATACGTGGGACTCGATCCCAGGACCTGGAGATCATGACCTGAGCCAAAGGCAGATGCTTAACCATCTGAGCCACCCATGCACCCCAATGACAGGATTTATTGTGTGGGGCCTTGCACAGTGTATGGATGCATGTTGTTCTTGATAAGAATTTCATAAGCAAATGCGGAGGTGATTTTCTTCAGACTTTTTTGTTTTTTTATCAAAGAAGTATTTTTATTTTTCTAATTTGAGTTAAAAACATGCAGATCATAAGTGGATGGTTCAGTGAATTTTCACAAAATTAATACTTACATTACAGCCACACAGGTCAAGAAATGAACTTTACCAGCACCACAGACAATCCCCTAAATACCTCCCTCCATCTTTGACCCCAGCCACCTACCCAAGGGTAACCATGAATCTGATTTGTAGCAACATAGATTAGTTTTGCCTATTTGTAACTGTGTGTAGGTAGAATCTACACAAAGTTCTTTTGTGTCACAATATTATGTTTGTGAGATTCATACATCTAATTGTATGTAGCTATAGTTCATTTTTGTCACTGTATAGCATTACATTGTGTGAACATATTTCAACTTATTTATTCAACTGTTGTGGCATATTTGGGTTGTTTTCAGCTTTTGGCTGTTACAGATGATAATGCTGCCACGAACACATCTTATGATGCACATGTGCGCATATTTATTTTTGTTATTCACTTAAAAGTGGAATCAATTAGTATAGGGAAGGTGGATCTTTATCTTTGGTAGATAAGGACAAACCATTTTTCAAATTGATTGAATCAATTAACTCTTTCAATGGAAATGCTTGATTGTTCCATATTTTTGCCAGCACTTGACATTGTCAACTTTTTTTCAGTTAAAACATTATGGTGGGTGCATCTGATTATGATAAATGATAATTGACTTGAGTACCACCTAGTCTGTATGTCCAAAATGAGAACAGAGAATGTTGTGGTGGATCAGTCCATGAATCCATGTACTGATTGTGTGTGTGTGTGTGTGTATTTTAATTTATTTGAGAGAGAGAGCGTGCGAGCACGAGAAGGGGGAGGGGCAGAGGGAGAGGGAGAAGCAGGTTCCCGCTGAGCAAGGAGCCTGATACAGGGATCGATCCCAGGACCCTGGGATTATGACCCAAGCGGAAGGCAGACACTTAACTGACTGAGCCACCCAGCTGCCCTCCATGTGCTGATTATAGACTCACTCTTAGGATCAGTGACTAGACTGATAGGAGTCTGTAGACAAACCTGAAGGTCTGAAGTTTGAAAGGAGGGAATACAGGCCTTATTTTGCCATGCACTATATTGCAGAGAGCTAGGTTCTCTGCTTGAGACTGAAGAAAGTCAGGGTGAATTAGCATTGTCCAGTATGGTGATAAAGAGCTGGTAGAAATGATGAAGGATGTTGCAACACATGGAGTTTGACATCTGAATGCACCAAATAGTTTGAGTTCTCATGGTGCAATTTCCTTCTGTTAAAGCCTGGAGGAAGAGGTAGGGCTCATAGAGAAAGACCTAGAATGGCACTGATAAAACAACAACCAAAATAATGCTAGTAACATCTAATGATTTTATAGTGTTGTATGTGTGTTAACTCGTTTAACTTTCTCAACAAATCACGGAGATGTCCTTTTCCCATTTTGAAAATGAGCACCCAGGTACAGAGAGGTTAATTCACTTACCCAAGGCCATACAAGTAAATGACAAATAAAGCTGAATTTGAACCCAGGTAATCTGGCCTCAGAATCCAGGTTCAGGACTTTATGCTAGCCACAAAATTAGGGTTGGGGGCAGGGGAACTCATGCAGAGAGATTCTTGGAAAGGAAGAAAAGGAAAAGTAGGCAGGAATTAGCCGGGTGGTCTCACTGGTATCAACTAACAGGCTCCCAAAAAAGTGTTCTGACAAACGGAATACATTCTGCACTGTTGCTGAAGGGGAAAATCTTGGAAGCCTGAAACATCTCCAGGTTTGGATGTGAGAGTCTTCAGCACACAGCAAGTACAATGGCTGGGTAGGGAAGCCCGGTTTAGCAGAGAGCCTAACACTGAGGATTGCCAGTCTTCCCTCCTTCTCATACCTGTGTCAGGTTTTTATGATTGCTCTACTGAGGGATAGATGATGAGTATCACGGCTAGTTTCTTTTGGGTTTCCTGGTTGTAGAGAAACCAATTAGGGGCAGCAGTTGATATATTATGATATATCATAATATATATATGATTATATTAAATCATATTACATATGATTTAAGTTTCTGTGGCTTGGGACCCTGTATTTGCCCCAGATTTCGAGACAACCAACGAGGTCAATTCATGGGGCTCCAAAGGGGCCCTGTCACTGAGACCTGGGCTGGAGGGTAGGCTCTGGAGACTGATAATCAGGAGGGAGGAACAAAGGAGGGACACCCTAGTGGGTTCTTAGGTGGAGATTAAACCATCTTTACTTCCTCTTGGAGCCCCTGGACATGTCCCACTTCCCTACACCCTTTTATATCTTTATTTCCTCTTCCCCTAGCTTCTCCCTTTTTTCCTCATGCTTACATTGCCCCATCCACAAATATAAATAATAACCTTCCCTGGGAGAAGAGCTCACTCTAAATAGGGAGAGGAGGAAGGAAGTCTCAGGCTGGGAAATGGCCATATGACCTCTATAGTTCATGTAGACAGTCCCAGGACCAAGTCTCCAAGACAGGATGGGCCAGTGACTGCACTGCTGGTAAAGAAAAGGCTCTGTAGGTGTTTCCTACAGAGTCATGTTTGGACTCAAGCATCTCCAGCCCAAGGAGGTAGCTCAGTGAAGAGTATTGCTCATCTCCCTGAGACTTCTCCAAGGCTTTCCCTTTTCTCCTTCCCAGTCTCCTTCAGGTTGTTCCCCATCGTTGCCAACACTTATTTTTTCTTGTTATTTTGGCTCCTATGTATATGTTGACTATGTATGTGGGTTTGTTTCTGGGCTCTTGATTCTGTTCCCTTGGTCTATGTTTTTGTGTTTATGCCAGTAAATGTCTCTTTGATTACTATAGCTTTGTGGTATAGTTTGAAATCAGGAAATGTGATGCCTCCAGCTTTGTTCTTCTTTCTCAGTATTAAATTGGCTATTTAGGGTCTCTTGGGCTTCCCTAAGAATGTTAGGATTGTTTTTTCTATTTCTGTGAAAAATGCCATTGGAATTTTGATAGGGATTTCATTTGATCTATAGATGGCTTTGGGTAGAATAGACATTTCAACAAGATGAATTCTTTTTTTAAAATATTTATTGATTTAAGTAATCTCTACTCCCAATGTGGGGCTTGAACTCCTGACCCAGAGACCAAGAGTTGCATGCTGTTCTGACTGAGCCCCAACAATATTAATTCTTCTGATCCACGAACATGGGATCTTTCCATTTATTTGTGTATTCTACTATTTCTTTCATCAAAGTCTTAATAGTTTTCATTGTACAGATCTTTCACCTCTTTGCTTAAATTTATTCCTAAGTATTTTGTTGTTTTTGATGCTATTGTAAATGGGTTTGCTTTCTTTATTTCTTTTTCAGGTAGTTCATTTTTAGTGTATTGAAATGCAACTGATTTTTGTAGGTTGATTTTTTTTTTTTTTTTTTTTTTTAGGCTCCAGTTTTACTGAATTTGTTTATTAGTTCCAACAGTTTCTTGGTGGGGTCTAGGATTTTCTTTCTTTCTTTCTTTCTTTTTTTTTCCCCTTAGCCCCAAACCCACCCCTAGGATTTTCTGTATATGTTGAACCATCCTTGCATCTCAGGTATTTGAAACTGGATATCATCCTAGGACTCCCCCATCTGATCACTGGGTCTTAGGGCATCTGCCTCTTATATATTTCTAATTGCTCCCTTCCTCCTCATACCCACTGCATGGTCAGCTCTTTCATCTCCTGCATGTCTTTGTCCAGATGTTGCTTTCTTAGTGAGGCCTACTCTGACAACTATATTTAATACTGTAAACTGTCCTCACTCCAGCCCTCTTGATCCCCCTTATTCTGCTTTTTCTTTTTCCCAAAGTGCATATCCTCCTCTAACATATTTATTATGTCTATTGTTTATTTTGCTTTTTCAAAAGTTTTTTTGAGATATAATTCATATATACAATTCACACATTTAAAGTTTACAATTCAGTCACTCTTAATATATTCACAGAGTTGTGTGACCATCACCAAAATCAATTTAGAATATTTTTATTACCCTAAAAAGAATTCTCTTACTCTTTAGCAGTCACCTCCCATTTCCCTCCAGCTCCTTCAGCCCAACCCTAGGTAACTACTCACCTACTCTTTGTCTCTATAGATTTACCTATTCTGGAAATATCTTATAAATCGACTCATACAATATG